GTTTAATAAAAAAATGAATTTGGGATTTACGTGTAGAAGAGGTTAGGAGTTTAGTTGTAGGAGAGGTTATAAGTTAAGGAAGTTGTGGTTTGGGGTTTGGGGTTTCGAGTTTAGGGAATTACAAACCCTTTCCTCGTAAAGCCCTAGTAATAGAAACACGGGCATAGCTATTTCCTCGTAAGCATTACGAGGACTTTAACAGGAATGAGTTTTGTTACTACGAAATTAAGAGGAACTAGATAGCACATTTACGAATATCTTACGAGGAAAAAGTACTTTTCCTCGTAAAGCCGTAGTAAAGAGTTTTGTTACTACGAAATTACGAGGAACTAGATAGAAAATATAGATTTCCTAGAATTTCCTAGTAAATTCTCAGATTCGAAAATTTCTATAAATACCACCATATGTGATTCATTTGAAACACACCAAACAAATAGAAAATACTCAATTTATAACTGAAAGGAGTTCACAGTCAACAGAATAGTTTCTTATCAACTCCTCGTAGCTTTTCCTCAAAGAAATAGCTTGGGGCTTTTCTTCAGGTAGATAGTTCGAGGAAAGCTATGTGGGGTTGATAAAAACCGTTCCGATGACTGTATACTTCTTTTAGTTTTTTTAAAAAAAATTTGTGATTTGGGTTTTAGGAAGATGTATAGGTATAAGTTATGGAAGTTGGTTTAGGTTTAGGGTTTAGGTTTAAGGTTAAGGTTTAGGGATTTACAAACCCTTTCCTCGTAAAGCCCTAGTAACAGAAAACACGGGCATAGCTATTTCCTCGTAAGCATTACGAGGACTTTACGAGGAAAAAAACGCGGGCATAGCTATTTCCTCGTAAAGGTTTTCCTCGTAATATCCTAGTGTTAATATTTCTAGGACCTTACTAGGACCTTACGAGGAAATGAAAACACGGACATAGCTGTTTCCTCGTAAAGCCCTAGTAATATTACTAGAGCTTTACGAGGAAACAAAATTCCTTATATATACAAGAGCAATCCGACTTCTCAGTCATAGTAAGTTCCTCTCCATTTTCTCTTAAGGTACTCTCTAGTTCCTAGTTAGGTGATTAGATTAGGTGGTTAGTTTAGGGAATTTAGATTAGGTGGTTAGTTTAGGGAATTTAGATTAGGTGGTTCGATTAGGAATTTTAAATTACGTTTGTTTAACTGTTTTTTGTTTTCTGTTTTTTTTTTTTTTAAATTTAGATGGTTAGACAGAGCAAAGTTGCTGCTGCTCAGTCCAGGAGGCCTGTAGATCAGGGGATTCATTATGCGGATATATTCGGGCCCGGTTCGTCTTCGTCAGCTCCCGGTGGTTCACCTTCAGGAGTTCCCGAGACCCAGGGAGGTTTTACGGCATCCCAGTCTCAGCAGCCACCTCCTCAGCCTCCTCCTCCCCATCCTGACTTGCAGGTGCCTCCGAACGCACCATTTGCGGTGTACACGGTGGAGGATATCTTGGTCCTTCCAAGCAGAGAAGGACTACCAGAGTTAGATCCTATCCGACGGGACGGCCAAAACGTATTATGGTATGTTTTAATTTTAAAATTCTTTTATTAAATAATTTTTAAAAAGTGTTATGGTATTTATTATTTTCTAATTAATGATTTATTTTCTGTCTTTCCAGGTTTGGTCTTGACAATGCTGTCGGATCTAGCGTCACGGACTGTATCAAGGGATACTTTCC